TGAAAAAGATTGTTCGCATATATATGTAGAACCGAAAAGGGAAAGAACAGCAAACACGAGCTTTTTCAGCTGATCGTAAGAGTCAGGAATACTATTCCAAGCGTTGAATATGATCATGTCTTCCTTCTCCAGGTCATTCAAAGCAGACCACTTGTGTTGTGATGCCAATTTGTACCCCCACTCCTTTAGAAAAAGTATGTGCGCATGCTTGTGGTACCTTTGCATCACACTGGTGTACGCCGAAAACATACGAACAATCTCAGCCTGTAGCTTGTGCATGGTTTGTGTTTACGTTTACGAAAACTAATAAACTTTTAACTCGATGTTCGTTACGTATTTTTACTACAATATAAAATTTTAATTACCTATCTATCTTTTAACTTAAACAAAAAATTATACATGTTCTCGATTTATAGAAGAATTTTAATTTATCAAAATAAGATGTAATTATTTTTCTTACCAAGTTTTTTTTAAAATGAAAATATTATGCTCCTTCCGTGGATATTTGTGCCAGAGCCGCACTTAAGGAGCCAAAGAGCCACATGCAGCTCCGGAGCCGCACTTTGCCGACCACTGGCCTAGTCTAACCTAACGAGTAATGTGGCACTGATTATAGTTCCATATTAAACTAATTTTGTTTTATTGCTTCAAATTATTTTTTTAAAAAAATCCTTGATCCAAAATTAGATAAGTGATTTTTCACCAGCATTTTGCAGCAGAATAAAATTCTGTTATAAAACTTTGTCATGAATACAAAATAAAAATGAAATCTCTCATTTTAAAACAGGAAGGGTTAGTGGAATTTTAACCAAGTCATGCATGAGTCCACATTCAACAAACCCACAAGTTAAGAAAAAAATATATTTATTATAAGAAAAAGAATTTGATTTACAATTTGAGATAAATACATTAAATTAGTTGATAACATGATTTACTTACAGAGTATTTGAAATACAGCCAAGAGTAAACTAACAAGATTGTAAGGAAGAATGATTCCCATGTATCAAAGACGTAACACTTTTAAAAATAAAACAAAAGTGATGCATAATTAGCTTTGTTATGATTCAATTCTACGAAACTGATTCACAATGAAAAACAACTGGGTATGATAGCAACTAAAATAGCAGGAATGGGACCTCAAAAAAAGTGATTAATGTTTAATTTTTTTAATCAAACCAACTAAGTCAGTTTTGAATTAAAATCAAATACCATGCATAAATTCAACATACCATAGAGTTGAGATAATAAACTTTTCTGTTAGTAATTTCAATTATTTGTTTTAATTCTTTAATACAGTTCATTATGAATGTACTGTGCTTAAAATATTTTAAGTATTTCTTATATAAAAAAGAAAAATTATTTTAGCAAATATAAGTTGCTTTGTAATGACCGTCTTTAAAATACTTTCTTTAAAAAAAAACCTTCTCAATAAGTATTCTCAAATCAATATTAAAAGTGACGAACAAAACAAATATACTATCGAAATCTAACAAATCACTAATGAGGAATACAAGTCTAAAAACATCAAAACCTGTTTGACTGCTGGAGGAATCAGGAGTTGAAAATCGTTTATTAGAAACACCTTTAAGTTATCAAGGCAATCAAAATACTTTTCATCCTCCTTTCTTCACTAGTGATTCAGTGATTATGGAACATCCTGAATAAACTTTTGTTTTAAAACTAAAAAGAATTTGGCAAAATTTTAGAGAAGTTTTAATTCTTGAGTTGTAATAATCAACGTCCTTATGTATATGTTTTTTCAATTTTAAATATAAAAGCTATTTTAATAAATAATTTTAAGATCACTATAATACTCTAGTTATTTTTTCTTCTTTAGACATAGCATTAAAATTATTAAAAAATTTACGTAATTATCTGCCAGCAGATAAATATAACAAGAGCAATCATAGTTGAGGAAGTGAAAACATATATTTTCCAATTTATGGTAAATAAGAACTTTCGAGATGCGTTCACATCAAAAAAATAACAATGCATATTAAATTATCAAATTAATTTATATAAAATTTAAGGCTGTTTCTAAAATACTTAAAGATAAGGCTTAACAAGTTCATTTAATCGGGATACAATTCATTCAGTACATAATGAATCACAGTTATAATATTTACAGAGACAACATATTATATTCTAGAAATGATATCTTATTTTTCAAAGATATATGTACATGGATGATACAACTAATGACAAATATGTACAGTGTTCAGTTCTATAAGTGCACAGGTATGAAATTTTAGCCTTCCCATATCCTCTATAAGTTAATATGTTTTACTATAGAAAAAGGGTGTTACACAAACATTAGCACAATTGTTTTTTTTAGTTTCTTTCATATTTGTTTATATTTTAAAGATAAATGTTCAAGAAATATGTATGACAAAATAAAAAGAGAATACAAAGTTTTAATATTTGCTTGATCAAAAAACAAAACTAATAAAATATTTTAATTCATAGTCAAGAGAAATAAATATATGGTTGATTAAAAAGAAGGCAAGAGCATAAAGAAAGTTCAGTGTTTTAGTAACCCTCCGCGTTCGGCTCAGTTTTAATACTTTCCGGTCCTGAAACTTACTTTTAGTTTAGTATTTTTCATTTTAAGTAATTTTTCACCACTAAATATCAAAAATTATAAGTATGATATAAAATGAAACGTTAAAGCATCAATCTACTGGTTACTATATTAAAAAGTAGGAGTTACTATCTTCCTTCAACAAATTTTTCAATATAATTTGCGAAATTCCCGAACTCTCTAGTGCCACCTAGTAGCGAAAATAAGCATCAGATGATGGTTTTGGATGATGGTCGTACACAGGGAAATTGCGGGATCCGTATTGAAATCAGGGGAAACATTTCTTCGCCCGCGATTTTCACGTGACCCGTAGTGGTGGACGAAACAGATACCCCGCTCAAATCGCGGGAGCCGTACGCGGAGGGTTAACTATAAAGAATCTTGATCAACTTGGAAAGTAAAATTTAAGGCAAGCATTATTTTAAGGAAAAATTTTAACGAAAAATATAATTATGAATTACACATAAATATGAGATATAATTCAAGTACAAAAATAAAAGAGATAGCAAAAAATATTTTAACCCTAATACAAATACCATTTTCAATGCAAATTAAGCAAGCAACCATTAGGCAANAGCATAAAGAAAGTTCAGTATATATTTTAGTAACCCTCCGCGTTCGGCTGTTTTTATACTTTCCGGTCCTGAAACTCACTTTTAGTTTAGTATTTTTCATTTAAAGTAATTTTTCACCACTAAATATCAAAAATTATAAGTATGATATGAAATGAACAATAAAGCATCAATCTACTGGTTACTATATTAAAAAGTAGGCGTTACTATCTTCCTTCAACAAATTTTTCAATATAATTTTTGAAATTCCCGAACTCTCTAGTGCCACCTAGTAGCGAAAATAAGCATCAGATGATGGTTTTGGATGATGGTCGTACACGGGGAAATCGCGGGATCCGTATTGAAATCAGGGGAAACATTTCTTCGCCCGCGATTTTCACGTGACCCGCAGAGGGGGACGAAACAGATACCCCGCTCAAATCGCGGGAGCCGTACGCGGAGGGTTAACAATAAAGAATCTTGATCAACTTGGAAAGAAGTAAAATTTAAGGCAAGCATTATTTTAAAGAAACATTTTAACGAAAAATATAATTATGAATTACACATAAATATGAGATATAATTTAAGAACAAAAATAAAAGAGATAGCAAAAAATATTTTGACCCTAATACAAATACCATTTTCAATGCAAATTAAGCAAGCAACCATTAGGCAATCAAAAAAAAAAAAAATTCTAAGAGATAGTTTAGTAGTAAAAAATTAAGAACAACCATAAAGGCAAAAAGATTAAGAATTTATTTTGAAGAGAAAAAAAATCTTAATAACGATAAAACTGAAATTTGCAGACAATTTATTCGAAAATATTGTAATGATATACATCATTTAAATTTAATATCTGCCATTCCTGAATTTTGACATTCTCCCGAAATCTGATATCGGCAAAATATTTTGAATAATATGAGAAGACAAAGTTTTTATAAGTAAATTACATAAACTTTGTATGCGCTTATTCTTTTGCCATAGACTTATAAGTCTTTGTTACTAAAGACAAAAAATTTATAAACAAAACGAAAACAAAAAAAGCATCAAGAATATCTTTTCATAGATAACTCACTATGTAGCTAGTAAATGGCAGAATACAAACTGAAAAAGAAAATATATTGAAAAAATCAAATGGAATGCATTAGAATATAATTTAACAAATAATACACTATTAATTTTCTAATACATGGGATACAAACAAAAAACATTAAAAAAAAGAAGATATACTAGACAAGATTGTATAAAACCTTAACACTAAATTTGTTCAAAGCTTTCAAAGGGTAGAAAAAAATATGCAAATAAATTTCATACTTAAAAGGTGAGATTACTAAAAATAAGTACAATTACTTAATTTTTGTACTAATATTTGTATTAAAAAAGTCTATTATTAATACACTGCAATGAAATAATTTCTTTCACAGAAAAATAAATAAGTTTCTTTTTTAGCACTTTAAAAATTGATATGTAAAGTATCACATGTTACAATTTGATTTCATGAAAAAACAATAAGTCTTTCATAGTTATTTTATACCTAATAATCTATTCAAATTAGATCACTGTATAGATAAATAAATTATAGGAAATATTATTGAAACTTTTATACTTAAACTTTTACTCACGTATACTTAAAAGGTTTGTAATTATTAGTAATAAATGTCTATTTTATAGAATTTTAAAAAAATGACAGATTATAATTTCTTGTCTAACTTGTTTTAACTAGTAAGACTCTAATGAAAGTAGTTATTCCTTTAATATAGTTATGTTACAAATTTTATGCAATTTTACAAATATATATCTTTATATTAACAAATGAATTATGAAAAAAATGTAAGCCTATTTTTGAATTAAAAATGTTTTAACGCATTATTTATTATTTCCATTTTATTTGCACAATCGAAAAGAAGAGAGGTTACCGTTTAAAAAGAAATAACGATAGCAATTAATCATAATTGGATTATATTATAATCATATTTGGAAAATTTCCATGAACCCAATTAAAAATATTGTAATGTTAACTAAATGAATGCAATATTGCACAGTTAAATTATAAATTTATTTGAACAAAACTAAATTATACAGTTATAAAGGCAAATTTTCTATAGACTAACTAAGATTTATTTTATGAGTATTCTCTACAACAAAATACTTTATAATTTCTCAAAGAAAAAAAAGCACTGGGAAAAAATTAGATTCATGAGAACTAATTTGTGCTTATTTTAACATAAATGATTTTCGGGCATGAGATTGTAACAGAGAAAAAACATTTTAAATAAAAATAATGTATTCAAAAAAGAACTAAGAAGACTATTTTGCATGCAACATTAAACAGTATTTTTATTTTATGGAATTAATGAAATTCAATACTGAATAATAATAATTTACAGCAAGTCATTTAAATTTTTAACAAGAGGATTGACATATCATTAGTAGATTAACTAGTCAGAATATATAGCATTTGATAAATATTCTAATTGTCTTGGAAAAATGAAATTTAAGTAACAGCTATATAAAATGTAAAATATTAATTATATCTGAAATACTTAGATAGCAAAACTGAGTCTAGAAATCTCATTTAAAATTACAAACTTAATAAATTTTTTTAATAAGCAATGTTATAACCTCTCATAAGCCACCGCCTGAACACAATCTTTATTAATACCATAAAATTTTGTCCATATTGTAATTTTGATCTGGTTACCCTAAAAATGAAACCCAAAATTAAAAAATGATAATAAGGGAATTAGGAAAAGAAAAAAAAGATGATAAAAAAAATTGTGAATCCAATTAAAAATCTTACGTTTGGATTCCTTTAGTCTTTTTCTTAATAGGGTTCCATTACAGGAAAATTAATTTCGACAAAATACTTTTAATTAAAATAAAATGAGTTTTAGTTAATCTTTAACAACTGTTACTATACTGATCTGTTTTTTTTTCTTTGCATTTATGACATAAAATCAAATTAAATTTCCCTTTTTTTTTATTTAATGGATCATTAAGTGTAAATACTTCGCAAATAAAAAAAATTTGACATAAACAAAATTTAAATAATTTTGCACCAGACAACAATTTTAACTAAATGAAATTAAAAACAGTATAATCAACTACAAAAAAAAGTTAAAACATAATGAATTAACATAAGAAAAGTGAATCATGATATAAACACATCTTTAAAATGAGGACACTGTATGCAAAGGGTTCAGAAGACACATTTTTGTCCACAACAATATCCAAAAAGTCTCTAGAAATCAAATGGGAAATAGTTAAAAGGTTGAAAAAACTTGTTCATATATTGAAGAATGAGAATTTTAAGATTCAGTTTTGACACTTTGATTTATTGCATGGGGTGATCGGCATTAGAATACATATGAGAGGGATGCCTCGGGTCGTCCCTGCGCATCTCTGGTGGCCTCAGGATTTCCTCTACTGCAGGACAGTGAGTACGGGGACCAGGTTCAGGAGTGTAAGTGAAGGTCAGCCCAGTAGAGTAAATAATACCGTCATTGCGGACCAATGACACTGGCACCTGAAATAAGACGTTTGAAATAACAATTTTAACTATTATACAGACAAGTCAAAACAATATTGGAAAAAAAAAAGCTGAACACAGTCAGGGTGCATAGCAAAATCTTTCAACAAAAAATAAGCACCTTTTAATTACTCAATCTCTCAAAAATGCACTCATAAGTATATTGAAAGCACTCAAGAACTTTTTAATCACTAAAAAATATTTTTCAACACAATATACATTAACAAAATGCAAAATAATTTTCAAGGATTTTGCATGAGTATGATAAAATAACTAGTTTCTGACAAAGAACTCTTCCTGATTATATTAGCCATTATAAAATGATCAAGAGATTTTTCAGTTCGATACTAGAGGGTGGAAAATGAAGTCTGAAATTAAGAATATCTTGTAAAATGCAGCAGAGTTGCACACGAGAAGGCAATAAATCACACAGAACCCAGCTCAGTAGAAGCACATACAGACTCGCAAGTATTTCATCCAACATGTAAAATGATTGGCGCTTTCATACGCTATGGACCGTCGGTACGCAAAAATAAATAGTGAAAACGTTGAATAGAACAATGTAAAAAGCACTCTTTTGCAAAATATGTGGCGAAAATTGACATGATAACGAAAAAAAAACTCATTTTCGAAAAGGGACCTTTTAAAAACACTCCATGACAAAAGCACCTTTAAGGGCCGTTAAATAACGAAAATCGAAAATAAGCACCTTTAAGCACTTTTTAAAAACACTACGCACCCTGTTTAAGTACTATTTAAGCCCTTAAAAATATTTTTAAGCTCTACATTCATTACCAAAATGCAAAATAATTTTCAAAGACTTTACATGATCATGATAAAATAACTAGTTTCTGACAAAGAACTCTCTTCTTGACTAAATTAGCCATTATAAAATGATTAAGAGATTTTTCAGTACCAGATCAAAAGGCGGAAAATGAAACCTGAAATTGAAATTATCTAGAGAAATGCAGCAAAGCTGCACATGAGAGTGCAATACTCTCACCGAACTCAGCTCACTATATATGCACATACGGACTCGCAAGTATTTCATCAGACGTGTAAAATTATTGGCGCTTTCATACGCTATGGATCGACGGTAGGCCGAAATAGAATAGGGTTGAATGAATTGTGAAAACATTGCACAGAACAATGCTAAAAGCCCACTTTTGCATAATATGTGGCAAAAATCAACATGGTAAAGAAAAAAAATCTAATTTTCCAAAAGGGAAAATTAAGCATTTTAAAAACACCAAATGAAAAAAGCACCTTTAAGGGCGAAAGGTTAAAATCAAAAATAAGCACCTTTAAGTACTTTTTAAAAATGCTACGCACCATGACACTTCATAAAACATATTATTTAAATTATATTGGAGACAACAGTAATTACTAGAGCTCAGATTTCGAGCACCTACAGAAAAAAAAAAGCTATTAAAAGCATCTGTTACTCAAAACATTCCTTTATATTTAAACAAGAATTTTATCTGAAAGATCATTTCTCTCCAAATATTTTATAAGACATAAAAATAAATGTATTAAAAAGTTTATATCAAAAGAAATTGTGATGTGATTTTTATTAAAGTTTGAAATGAATATCAAACGTGAAATTAACTTAAGACTAAAAGAAGAAAGGTTAACTGTTCTGACGTAGGTACACTGATTTATAAATAAATCAATACTTCAAAACTTAAAGAAATATCAAGAAATCAGAATTGCAATAGATTATTGTTGACTTTTTAAAATATATTGCATTGCACATTATGCTGGAGTAAAATAAAACTACTTCAAATGTAGAAAAAACTAATGCAATAAATAGTATAATAAAATTAAAAAATATTTTTAAAAAAAATAACCAAATTTTAAAAAGTACCCCAAAATTTAAAAAATATACCCTAAAATTTAAAAAAAAAATTTCTTAAAAGATCGGGAGATTTAAAAAATATAAACAAAAATGCAAATGTCATTGAATTTGGACCTTAGCAATTACAAGTTGAGCTATAAAATGAAACTTTCTATTTAAATAAATTACTATATCAAGCATATATTAAAAATTAATATTCATTTATAAATTTCACTTAAACTATGACTCTTCTGTAATATGTCTGTCATTACTTCAATTGAAGTCATTCTTAGTACGAGCCTATCTGGGGATGTTACATTTTGTTTAACCGGTTGAAGATAACATTTTGTTAATCTTCAACTGAGAGAAAAATCTTATCCTTCCACACAGTTTGCAAAACATGTTCTTTCAAAATGCATCATTAAATTTCTATATTGCTTAAAAGAATGCTTCTTTTAGTTTAACTCATTCACAAATTAATTAATATCAAAGAACTTATTTTCAGCCGTCAAACTCATCGCCTTGAAAAAATAAGATTTACTACCTTTTTCCTTTCAATATCAATAGATCAATGAAATAAATCAATCAAACATGTAATACTTAGATAAAAAAACTAAATTAAAAATTATACAACACTGAAATTATATATACTTCATTCTAAACAAGAAAGAATTAAATTGATTACTTCGAATCAATGTTTTAGTCTTTGGTTTAATTAGAGCTAGCCTTTATTGCCCTTTTATCATTCTTCATTTAATCTAACGTTAATTCTTAATATCTTTATTTTCAATTTGATAAAAATGTATTAGATTAAGGAATTCACAATTTTTCAACATACTCTGATCAAATAAGTATCAGAAGTACCAAAGCAAGAAAAGTTAGTTAAAAAAGGTAATAATATAATATAAATCAAACTTACTTGAGTCGGCTGCCTCACCCACTGCCACCCCTCTCGGAAGGCAGAAATATCAGGAACTACACACAGCATATTCTCTTGACATCTAATTTGAAATAGACAGATTTAAAATATGTATATTTCACAAAACAATTCTGCAAAATACAACTTTAGCACACATCAGTCCTATTTCCATTGAAAGAAAAATTTATCTAATATCCTGTACTCTTCATTTTAACAATAGTCAGGGTGCGTAGCCAGATTTTTCAACAAAAAAATAAGCACCTTTTAAGTGCCTCTTAAGCACTCAAAAAATATTTTTAATCACTTTCCAAAAAAAATTTCATAATTAGGATCTGTGCGGTAATAAAAAAAAAATTTCCTGTCACTTAAAACTCTTAATTTATAAATAAAAAATAAATAAAATTCAAAAACATTTTCAAAAACTTTTCATAATCATGATAAAAATAACTAGTTTCTGATAAATATTGCAGAGAAAATTGGGAAAAATCATGCGTTTTTTTGTAATTTAGAACGACAATCGACACGGCAATGAAAAATATCCTTTTAAAAGATAGAAAATTAAGCACTTTCTAGAAACCTCGAATAAAAAAAAAGCACCTTTAAGGGCTTTTAAAAACGTAAATATAAAATAAGCACCTTTAAGCACTTTTTTAAAATGCTACGCACCTTGATAGTACAAGCAGAAACAGAAACAAATAATTACCAATTTAGAGAGCTCTAACAATACAACTAAAAGATGATTTTTTGAATAAGAAGTTTAGCAATTATAGACATAAATGTGATGCTTTAACATGCTAAATTTGGAGTTGTGGGACAAGGGTTGTTAAATAAAGCACAACTATAAAATTAAAATGTTTTCCTATTATGAACAGGGACAGAGTCCTGGAATGCGTAGACTATTTCCTATAAAGCTCAGCTATGAAATAGAAGGATATAACCTTAACAACAAATATATATATATTGCAGGGAAATGATGAAAAGGAGATTTGTTTAAATCCCTACAGGAAATATTCAATTCAGTGAAGATAGTAATATAATAACTTATTGGTGTGATTCCCCAAAAGAAATCAACTGATTTGATCAAATCCTCCAATTGTTTTAGAGAAAAAATGAAACGAACAAGTCTAAAGAAAATAATAAAGATGGGGAAAAAATATAAAATAAACATAGATTTTTATTTTTGTATCAGTTAAAATGATAGCTTTGTTTAATTTATTTTGTATATCATTACATCTATAGTTAAATGATAATTTTTTGAAATCTAGAGTTGATAAATTTTAATATTGCTGCAAGAGATCCAAGAAATTATTAGTGTATGGAATGGGGCTATTGATAATAATCACTGTTTATTGTTTTTAATAATATGATTAACCAAAGGAAGTGAGTACCATGACCCCAGTTACTAATGTTTTATTACGGTTGAATGCACGTTTGCCCAGAATACCCTACACTGATTTTTTTTTTTTTTTAAAAAGCTAAGTGCTATAAAAAAAACAAAGCGTAAAAAAGAATGAAAAAAAAAGAACCAAAACCTTCTAGCATGAAGTATTCACGCAACAAATGAACAATGCATATTAAATATGAGTGTCTGCATCCAAAGTAAACAAACAATGTATGTTGTCTCGCTTTTGCATATTGGAAATCTCTAGCCAAATGAGTTGAAAATTATTACATTGGCCAAACTCATCGAGTAATTATAAATAATAACTTGCAAATGCAATAAATTTTGATACATTGTTTGCTTCGCCGACTTACATATTATTACTAATAGGCTTTCCCCTTTTGTTTGTTTGCGTTTTAAAAATAAAACTTACATGAAAAATAATCGGATTGGAGAGTTTTTGCTACTGGGCATAACATACATATATTTATTTCAAGAACGACTCAAATTTTTTAAAAAATTTTATAAATTGAGTATGATTTTAAATATTGTGCTTTTTATAATTGATTAGATTACGTCAATGTTAAAATGCGTTCAAATTTGTTTGGTGCTCCTCACAACATTGTATCAATATACTTTGACATTATTAGTAAGATGACACAAAGAACCTGTTGCCAATGTAACTATGTGAATTGAGAAAGTTATAATTTTTCTAGGTTATTTGATTTTTACATTTGTTAATTAATAAAATGAATTGATTATATATCAAATTAATTAATAATAATAAACAATTTGTTTATTAAACAAAATCATCTATAACAGGGCTAAAGAGAATAGAAGGGCTGGTTCACTCCTTTGAAGTATCTCTTGCCGCGCCGATCCTCTGACGTCACTCTAGTGACGTCACTTTGGCGAAAAGCTCGCACTTTTACTTCAAGAACGGAGCATTTGGCCTTACTAGCACTAACTAATATTGGATCATTTCTTTTTGCGAGATATTCTAAGACATTTGTTATTTTCTATAATGACTTTCCGCTGTCGCTGTGACGGCGTTACAAGAATTTNTACAATAATAACGATTTTATTTATAATGATATCGTTTTTATTTATAATAATATCGTTTTTATTTATAATAATAATCGTTTTCATTTCTAATTTTTATAATAATAATCGGCAATAAATATCGTTTTTGAATAAGCTACATTTTTTGTAATTTTATTCAAAAATAAGTAAGTTTTATTAATCAGTTAGATAGTTCACTCTTGTCGGTCAGAACTGTATTCTTTATTTCAAAATGATTTAAAAAACACTATTTATAAGTAGATTTTAATGGTTTAAAGAAGTTTAGTTAATTGTGCAAAAATGGTTACAGAAGCTTATTTTAAAGTTAAAACACGCAAAACAAATTTTCTTTGAATATTCCCAAATTATTTTTCTAGTCAAAAGCAGGAAGTAAATTTTAAACAGTCACATTTCTCTCTGGTTTAATACATTCAAAATTCCATCAAAATTAGGTGTTTTCACTGAATTTAAGATAGAATTCTTGTTCATTTTTTTTTTGCATTTCCTTCATTGTTTGTCTTTTTTTAAATGTTGTAGGAAAAAAATTAATTAATTTGCCTGAATATAAATGAACACAATTACAAGGGGGAATAATTGACTTTCAATTTTTTTCTGATGTAATTCAGAATATTCGAGACAATTAACTCGAAATAAGAAAAAACACATATCTCGTATTAAAGTCATTATCAATTTACCGCCGATATAAACTTTAACGTTTGTTTCGTTCTCTCTACTTTTATTAATAAAAAAAATATATATTGGACATCCATTTAATAAAAATGAATGTTTCTTTTTATCTTTTAGGTTAAGAGCGATCGTAGCTTCAGCTCTAAGAGCGGAGTGAACTAGCCCTTCTATTCTCTTTAGCCCTGATCTATAATGCCTTTATATATCTTTAAATAATTACAGGATTGTTTTTATAACTAAACATGCAGTAAATTTAAATTATTATTGAAACGTATATATATATATATATTACCTGTACATAGTTTCAGCTTCTACTTCACCAAACCATACTTTAAGTGTAGGAGTGAAATTTTCACCTGTTAACTCTAGCATAGCTACATCTCCCCCTCCATTTACCTGAAACATAGTTTACAAAATTTGTAAATCTCAATCTGTACACACTATAAATAAATATATATTAGATTCTTTACATAGTATGTAGGTACTTTATATATGTCACACTAGAGCTACACTATGAGCTATTGGCGATAGTTTACAAAAATCTGTAAATTTCAATCTGTACATACTATAAATAAATATATATATACTAGATTCATTACATAGTATGTATGTACTTTATATATGTCACACTAGAGCTACACAATGGGCTATTGGCGACGGTCTGGGAAACATCACAGAGGATGATACAAAGACATACCAACACAATTTTGATCCTCTGAAGAGGGGATAGATACCCTGCTTTGGTAGCCCAACTACCTGCGTGCCAAGTAGAGCACTTTACTATCGTAAAACAGTTTAATGAGGAACGATACCGTGCACCCTCTGTCCTGACGCAGGCTGATCAAAGCGATCGCCCACCTACTGATGCGTGACTTTGTTCTTCTAAGAACTATGTCTTTATGATCAGTCCACTGCGAGACATATGTATGTATGCATATATACACACACACATTCTAGATATTTCAACAAACTAGAAGCAAAGTTTTTTTTAATGTTTCAAGGTACAAAAGGATATTGAAGAACATAAAAAGCAAAGATTATTTGATATGTTTTTAATATTATTGATAATCAGATATTAGAAATATTTTATTAGAAAGTTCTATCTCAAAAAAACACCACTAGTTATTAACCTCATATTATGCAGTAATGATCTTTAAATGGAAAAATCTATTATTAAAATGTATGAGCAAACGTTATTAAATAATTAGTCAGTAACAATAAGGACAGCATTGCACACTGAAGACTGCCTTTATTTCCCATTGGTACCCATCGATCAGTCCCTGTCGGTGCCCATCGATCTGAAGCTGCGTTGGGCTTCCTACAGACATCAGAAAAATAAAATTAACTAATAGTGATTAGAAATGCTTACTTGAAGACTATGTACAACAGGAACAGGAGTAACAGTAGAGCGAACAGGGCCCATTCCTTCATAAAAAGTATATTCTGCTTTATCAGTGCTAATGATTGTCCAAGAAGCCCCATCGTTTATCATCTCCTTGTTAGGCTCTTTAGGACATGGAGTAGCCTAATGAAAATGCAAAATATATTGATTTCAATTTAATTCAATAGTACATTAATATATAGTACATTATTTTCTATATCAATAAAAATAGGAGCAAAATTAACTCCATGCTCCCGTGAGAGCCCTAATATAAAAAAATTTTATCTAAATCACTTAATCCTCAAAAAAAAAAAACATGAAAACATGATTTAATTTGAGCTTGTTTTAAACATGTGTCCAAACTAAAAGAAAAAAAATATCAAAAAAATTTTTTTTAGATAAATTAAAGTAAAAGTACATAAAAATACTGAAAAACCCCTCAAAAATTACATTATTCAGTAAAAATATTGAAATATCACATATCCAATGTTTGCAACAAAGGGTCAATTATATGAGTTTATACTTAAATATGCATAAATTAATCTTCCTAAAAAAATCTAATGATTCAGTAACTTAATTTTAAAAAAGTAATCATGGATTTTTTTCATACTTTGTTTAAAAAAAAATCTATTACCTGAAACTGTATGATTCTTTCCTGAGATAAACAAAGGTACATTCTTTCAGTGTCCTTCATGTAAAAAGCACATTTATGAAGTTGTGAAACTGGATCATCAGCATCTAGAAGAGCTGTCTGTTTGTCAACTTTCCTTATTATCTGTAAATAAAAATACATATGCATAAAACATATTACAAGAGGGAGATACACGGACATGCATGCTCATTTATTTCATTATTTAACTTTATTCTAGAAAACAAATTCAACAGGTTATTTAAAAATACATTATTTATTGCGTATTATAAATATCCATTGCTCTTTTTAAGTCCGGCAAAAATATAAGTGCAATAATGCATTATGCGATTGAATATAAATTTTTGGAGAAAGTTTAGTATAATTTAATGAAAAAAGCTTGCGTTGGAACAACTGCGGCAAAAGTTTTTGTTTTTAAGTTTATTTTGAAACAGGTGTGAAATAGTTTTGAGGTAGATTAAAGCAGAAATCACATCACTGAAAAAAAAAATTTTTTTGCAAGAAAGATTGTCACATTCACTTAAAATCAAAATTAATTTTTAAAAAAACATGGGAAATAAAGAATTTATCAAAATTCAGTTTTGCAACAAATGCAAAGCAAATTAAGATATTTTATAGAGTTAAAAGCTTTTTATTAAGACCAAAAAAAAATTAACCTAATATATTTTAATAAATAGTATGAAAATATTTTTCATTAAGAAAAAAGATTAAAACCCCAATTAATCATATAATGCATTAACATGACACATAATCACATTTTTAGTAGTTTCAAAACAGAATTTATTGAAACCATAAGTAATTTACTTTTCTGCTTTTCAAAAAAAATATTAATATAAAGATTAAAAAGAAAACCATTTCTGTTTGCCATTTAATTTTGCTCAAAATACAAAAAAATCAAAGAAGCTTAATAAAAAGAAAACAATCAGGACAACATTCTGAAAAATATATAAAAACAATATTGCCACTAAAACTACCAAAAGTAATTTTTCTGTACAGCTTTTAAAAAAAAAATATTAATGTATAGTTTAAAAAGAAAACTATTTTTGTTTGTCATTTAATTTTGTTCAAACTACAAAACAATCAAAGAAGCCTAATAAAAAGAAAACAATCAGGACAACTTTCTGAAAAATATATAAAAACAATATTGCCACTAAAACAACCAAAATTAATTTTTCCGCTCTGCTTTTCAAAAGAAAAATATTAATACATAGTTTAAAAAGATAACTATTTTTGTTTATCATCTAATTTTTTGCAAACTACAAAATGTTTATAAAAAGAAAACATTAAAGACAACATTCAGAAAGATATACAAAAACAATATCGCATATTAAACCTAAGTTGCTTAAATTAACAGAAAACACAAAGTAGAAAAATTACCAGTCTAGGTAATGCCATTCCTGTAACTGAACAGACTAACTTAACAGTAGAACCATAATGAATGTAACCATCACGAACAGTAAATTCCTCAGACTCTGATTCAGTATCATCCACTACAAAACAAATTGAGCAGTTAGGAAAAATTTTTTAACAAATATGTTTTAGATGTAAACAGCTGTATATGTGTTGCAATAAAAAACAAAAAATTGTGCAGCTAACGTTCCTAATTTTGTGTTGAAGTAATTTCTTTTTTTTTCTTTTTTTTTTTTTTCAATTTTAAGGTTATAGCTTACCACATTTTTCAACAAAAGATCACAAAAGTTACAAACTAACTTTAAAAAAAGTAGTTACGTGCATTTCAAATGACTAGCAAAACACAGGCTGTGATAGATAATTACTTATTTACCTTCTATTTGACCTTTAGTATCTTAGAACAATATATGGGGGCTGCCAACTACTAAGCGTTTTGTGAAATATTTTATATAGTGGTAGAATCGTACATACAAATCACGATTGATAATTTTTAGGTCGCGTAAATACGAATCATGATGCAAAATTTTTAGATTGCATAAATAAGAATTATGATGCATAATTTTTAGAATGCGTGAATGCGAATCCCAATGCCTTTTTTTTAAATCACATATAAATACGAAAATCAATGTTTAATATTATAAACCGCATGAGCAAATCAAGACATTGAATTTTAAACCTGCGTGGATATGAATCGCTACATAGGTTTTTAAAAAGGCGTAAATACGAATCACAATATCGGATTTTTAAATCTCGTGAATAAGAATCACAACATACAATATTCAAATCGCGTGAATAAGAATCGCAACACGCAAATATGACAAGCTATGTTTGATATTAAAATCGTGTAAATAAGAATTGAGATATTAGCAGATTCCAGGCTTGGGACCTCTAAAAGGCTTGTCAGAAACAGCGTCGTTTGAACTTCGAAAATCGGATCTATCTGGAGGGCAGGTAAAAAATTCGGAAAATCTTATCTGCTGCGTGTAAAAGGGGAGAAAATAGCTAAAATAAGTAAAAATGCGAAAGGATGGGTAGCTATGTAGTTTGAATTTTCTGTTTCTCTTTGAAAATCGGTGAATTTTCTGAAAAAGCGGAATTTTTACAAAATCTGATTTTTTGATAAAAAAGCTGAAATTCAAGAGATAAAAGTGAAAAATCTCATCCCTGAATATAAGTCTATCTTTAAGTGAAAATTAAGTAATAATAATAACTGAATTGATAAGAGCCATTAAGTGTTTTTAAATTTTTATTGCATTTTTTAGTTATTTTTTTCCAAATAACTTAACTACAGAGAGAAAACCTACAAAAAAAAAAAGCATTTTAACAGAATTGTAAAGAACAGATAATAAAAATATAACAGATAAAAATAATTATCATAAAGTTGATGTTTAGAATTGAAACAGCAATTCCACAATTTGTTTTTAACACAAATGCACTTGACCTATACTAAATCTAATTAATGTTAATTACACATGACATAAGTGCATAATGTATTGATACCAAATGATGATAGCCATAACAAATGCTTGTTCATTCTGTTTTAACATGCAACACAATGTTATAAGATGTTATTTAGAAACATAAAATACTTCTGTATGGTTTTTGTTTTTATCAAAAATAATGATATAAATAAGCATAATTTTAATCATTGGCTGAATAGTTGGATTTGCATGATTCTGGAGCAAAAACTTTTCTAATGTCTAACATTTTGGTAAGATTGAGTTAATTTGCAGGTTTATGTAGTTTTTGCATAACACAAATAAAAATGATTTTACTTAATTTCTAAGTATACGAACTCAGAGTTTACCTAATAATAAAAAGTTTTTAAAAAAATTAGCAAAATTAAATAAAATATTACATTTCAAATATGATGAAATGTAATATTTTATTTAAAAAAATTTTAATTAGAGAAAGAATATTTATACTTGAAAGATGTCTATGAAGCTTAACTTTTAGAGACATGAATCAGCTTGTATAAGAACTCATTTCCCCAGCAGTAAATAAGAAAATTAGTAAAATGAAAATATATTATGTTTCAATTATTAAATTAGTAAAAGAATATTTAATATTTTAAAGAAAAAGGCATTTGAGTTTTGATTAAGATTTGTTATTGGTTTGATGATGCAAAACTGTGGGACAAATTCTTCATAGAAAATTATCTTTCTCCTACATAAGTAACTTGAAGCATAAAAAAAATTTGTTGTTAACCTAACGTAAACTATAAAGTTTCAAAATATCAAAATGAAAACAAATTATGGCAGGATTACTTAAGACTAGACAATGGAGAAGTGATCCTGCCATAATCTGCATGTATTTTGATATTTTAAAAACATTTTTTTCAGCGTTTGAAACTACACTAGATTTACCTAGATACTAAATGTACCAGAATTCACCTTTCCATAAACTTTAAATTACTTATGTAGGTGAAAGTGAGATTGCCATGAAGAATTTCTACCACTGTACAACGTCATCTTTATAATTGGATTCAAAAATGCTGTAAATAAGAATAACTACTCAACACTAAATATTTTACTATTTAGTAAAAACATTTTTAAAGGTAAAATTTCTTGTTCCCCAAATTAGAGCAAAAAAAAAGACTTACAGAGATGAATGGTGAAAGCACCCCATTGAGTAGAGCTGGCATGGAAGTTACCGTTCTCAACATGAAGATATCGAGTACTGACTGTCTGGGAACGAAGCCTGTTAAACAAAGCTACTCTAGATCCTGAAGCTATGCATACTGCAATGAACAAAACATACATACTCTTTAAATAACATACATAATACATACTCATAATAAAAATAAGAAAGTTACATAAGCAAAATAAGATACAGGCATGAAATAGCAACAAAACAAAAAAGGTAGACACTCCAACTACTACAGGGTGCGTAGTCAAATCTTTCAACAAATAATAAGCCCCCTAAAAGTACTTTTCAAGCACCCCAAAAAAATTTTAAGCACTATATACATCGACAAAAATGAAACATAATTTTCAAAGGCTTACATGATCATGATAAAATAGCCAGTTTCTGACAAAGAATTTTCTTTTGATTATATGAGCCAGGGTTGGAGTTTTTGCCGGCAAAGAGGGGTTTTTGCCAGGACAGTGGCAAAAATCTGGTAAAAACAGGCAAAAACTGGTAAAAACCGGCAAAAAAAAATTATCTAAATTGCTGATTAAATATTATTACAAAATACTTGAAACAACTTTAAATCAATCATAAGGAATAATAATTTTGATACATTACATGAAAAAATTATTATTAACATATTAATAATTAATATAAGGGAAAAAATTATTTTTAACATATTAATAATTAATATAAGGGTAATCACTTTTAAAAGATTGAAAGTTTTTGATCTCTTTTCATTTTAGAATCCTAAAATAAATGCTTTTTTACAAATAAATATTATTATTTGTATAATATTATTATTTATTATAAAAAATTATTATTTGTACAATAATTAACTACACATGTTGATAGATATTTTATGCTTTAAATTATAGTTATATTAATTTAAAATAAGTTCATTTCACTGGAAAAAAGAGAATAATCACAAATTTTCCAATCAATAATGTTTTAAACTACTAAAATGATATATTATTACATTATCATTTAATTATGATTTAATAATAATTTTGTTAATTTTTCTGTAATTATTTATATTCTTAGTATATATTTCAATTTTAGGAATAATTGTGTACAAAAAATGTGTTTTTGTCTTCTTATCTAGGAGAATATAGGTTTTTGCCACTTTTTGCCAATTTGCTTGGCAAAAACCTGTTTTTGCCAGGACGGTTTTTACCGGTATTTACCATGGTTTTTTCCACCTGCGGCAAAATCTTGCCAACACTGATATGAGCCATTATAAAAAGCTGAAGAGGTTTTCGGTTCAATATCAGGTGGTGTAATATGAAGCCTGAAATTGAGAATATATTGCAAAATGCAGCGGAGTTTCACATGAGAGTGCAAGAATCTCACTGCACCCAGCTCAGTAGACGGACATGTGGATTCTCAAGTATTTCATCAAACATGTAAAATGATTGGCACTTTCATGCGCTATGGACTGACTGGACGTCGAAATAGATTGTGATTGAATGAATTGTGGAAACGTTGAATAGAACAATGGCAAAAGCATGCATAATAGGCGGCGAAAATCGACATGGTAAAGAAAAAAATCTCATATTCAAAAAGGGAGCTTTTTAAAAACACTACGCACCATGTACTTAATTTCCAAGTGGTAGAAAAGGAGGGTAATGTATTAATGCTTTATGAATTAGAATTAAAAGAATTACAAAACAAAATATAATCATTTAAACAAGTACTATACTGTCTGATAGATGATTGCTAACGCTTTAACAAAAAAAATTTACAACTTTTAGTTCTAAAAAACTTTTACTTTTGCTTTAAAAATTCTAATTTAGTTCACAACCACTAAAAAGAATAATTTACAACAGCCTCTAATGTACAAGTTTCTGAAAATGGAAAGAACATAAAATAGAAAGAGTGTGCTTCAATGTAATTAAGAAGACTAATTTGTGTTTAGCAAATTAATTTATGATATTTTTGTTAAAATGCTTCGTTATGAAATTGAAAAGTATTAAATTTAATGTAATATAATAGCAATTTAAAATAAGATTTTTTAAAATATTTTAAAGTTTTTTTGTTAACTAATAATATAGTATAAACTATAGAACATCAAGTCAGAAAATATAGCTTTTGAAAAATGTTCAAATTATATATATTATTCAAATTATATTGGTATAATGGAATGTTAATTAAAATTATAATTAAACAGTTATATTACAGCATAAAATAAACTATTAACATAAATAGGAAAGACTTAGATTAGTTAGCAAAACTGATTATAGAAATCTCAATTTAGTGAGCGTAGCTTATAAACTTATAAAAATAAATAGGAGAATTATATCTTTATTTACAAGCCTGTAAATACAAAATATTTTTCCCAAATAGTCATCTTTTAGAGATAGGAATTTGCTACTACACAAGAATAAAAAATTTTTGGAGAACAGCAGAAATAATTATTTGGTATATATTGATCATTTATTCACAGTTGATAATTAAGAGAAATAAAACGAAAAATCTATTTGCGAAAAGATATAAGAAATAATCATACGATAAAGGAATTATTGATTTAAATTTACATTGGTATTAAATCATTTCAGAAACCATGAAGAATAATAGTTTGAAACAATTTGGTAAAAAAATTTTAATCATTTTAGAACAATTTAACCAGAGAGATTCATCATTTCAGAATAATAATTTGGAGTAACATTGTTCTACATTAAAATCATGATAAAAATTTAGAGCTTTCACTTTATAGCAGCCAAAACAATTTAATAGCAATAATTGTAATTATAAATTTCCTACATTAGAGATAATACTACATTTTTGAAGAAAGCAATGATTTTTTTTTTGATGAAAACATAATTTTTTTAAAGCAGATTTCACGTCTTTCAAATTTCAAAAAATAAATAATATTTGGATGCAATTTGAAATGGATCAGGGTGAATTGGGGCAAAATAGTAACAGGTGGAATTTTAAGAAAAATTATCCGCAATAAAAAATCTAAAGAGGAATAGAAGCAGCAATCACGTAAAAACAATTAAACAGATTACAAAAAATAAATAAATAAATAAATAAAAATAAAAAATAGATGCAATTTATATTGTTAGTCATTCATTAAGCTATTAAATTGATCTCAATATTAAAATAAATAATGATTTCTACAAACAGGCAACATAACAAATAGATTAGTTGTAAAAAAAAAGCAATATAACAAATAAATAAGTTGTAAGAATGATAAATTGTACATGGGAGTTAATAACAATAGAAAAGTAATTTCTTAAAGATAAAACAAATTGTAATCATACTTACAATCAGCATTCTTTATAGATTGTTTTTTCTTTGAAGGTTTGGAAATAACTTTGATTCTTTTACTATGAAATACACCAATATCTTCGCCATTGCCATAAAACATTTTTACAGAAAGCATGAAATGTTTTCTTTTATCAGAATCACTTATGTACAAAGTTTTGGCTGCACAATAGCTCTAAAATAAAGTGTTTACTTTGAAAATGACAAATAATGAATTTTAATTAAATATTAAATAATTATAATCAAATTTTAGAATATAAAAAACATTAGAATATTACAAACATTAGAATAAATATCAGGAATCAATAATAATATGTAATTATTATTTTCAGTTTACAAAGATATCCAAATATAACAAGTGGTAGGAGTGTTAATGCTCATTAACTAATTTATTAAATACAATGAAATTTAGTAGTTTTATCATAGAAATGAAGCAAAAAATTAGATTAAAAATATTTTTTTTCCCTAGCAATCTTCAAAAAACAAACAAATACAATATAGTAGAGAGATTAATCAAATTAAACAAAAGCCCCTTAATGCAAAACAAGAGTGATTGAATGATGATTTATAAAAATTGAATGATTTTGAAACATCCAAAAAAAATTTTTAAATCTTGAATTGCCAGAAACCTGCTTCCTGTCGTCTAAGACAAATTTTTTTAGTATTTTGAGTAATTTATTAAAACATTTAACAAGTTAAAAATACCTCTTGATACTTTTGAATAGAACAGTATTCAATTAACAAAGTAAAATTTTTATTAAATACAAGAAGAAGAAAAAAGAACATGGTTCACAATAAATAAGTAAAAAAATTTAACTACACAAAATACTATGAAATCAACAGAATTTTCCAACATCTAGGGCAAGTCAGCATATAAATGATCTAAAAATCAATACTATCTTTCTTTTAACTTAAAGGTTTCTGCAAAATTAAAGGGAATGAAAAAAAATAATTATATTCCTTTAGCAAAATTTTTCTTCTTGAATCGCGCGTAAAATTTTTACACAATACTGATAAAGAAATAGTGTTTTTTGCCCTTTCTTGTTCAATATCTTCATTTGACATTTACACTAAAAAAATTATTTTACTATACACTCAACTCCCCTTTAACTATGGGTTGATTATTTACTTCAGTTTATCAGCTATCTGCTACAAGAAAAAATTTCCCGTAGTTGTTTCATGTTAATTCCATGTAAAAATTTCAATAAATACAATTCTCAAAAATCTATTTTATTGAACTAGAAGATTTACTAATGAACCTAACCAACATCAAAGTTTGTTAATAATACTTGTTAGGTTAAATAAAGGATAAACGATATTAAATTCAAACATGTAGACCATCTTTCTATTCTATACACTGATAATTTATAAATTTCTATTCAGAGATTTACATTGAATTTGAAAATTGTGACCTTTTGTTCAGTAACAAAAAAGGTTAAGTTTTCATCCACCACTATGCGAAATAATTTAAATAGATATATTATGATATATTATTAGATTATATAGCTGATATTTCAATATTATTAGATTATGTTGCTGATCTTTCAATTCTATATACACCGATAATTTATAAATTTCTATTCTTAAATTTACATTGAATTTGAAAATTGTGATTTTTTGTTTAGTAACAAAAAAGATTAAGTTTTTGTAAACCACTACATGAAATAATTTAAATAGCTATATTAATAACCAACTAGACAAATTGCCTCGATTTTAAGTTCTGATAAAAGTTCAGTGAATATTCCATTTGTTTTAAAAAATTTCAATTTAATTTATGAAAAATGAAAACATGCAGCATGAAGTAAATTTTTTAAAAAATACATTACAAAAGAAAAGTAAATAAATAAATAAAAAGAATTAAGTTTTTACATATTGAGTACTTGCTTTGCCATTGAAATCTAACTGTTGCATTTCTTGATCAGAATTTCCAATCCCAATGAAAGCACATAATTGAGAGCCTTGCTCACTTTCACCATCTCGAACCATTTGCTCCTGTTTTTTTCTCCAACCATCTCCGAGTAAATAGATGCATGGTGGAGGGCAAAAAAACCTAAAAATGCATAATATGCGTATGTTAGCAGTTTTAAAAACAATAAAATTACAGTCATACTTTTCTACATCACCACCTAAAGAAAGCAAAAAAAATTTTTTTTTAATTATTATGAATATGGTAATTTGTTTTAAAATTTCAGCCAAAATAATAGCTGTGTAGGCATTTTAAATTTTATAAAGCATGTATTTATTTCAAAAAAAAAAAAGTTACTTCAAACATAAGGATACATAGCCCAATTTTTCAACAAAAAATAAGAACATTTTAAGCACTCTATAAAAATACTTTTAATCGCTTTATAAATAAAATAAAAGATTAATTACAATACATGCAGTAATAAAATTCTTTTCTTCCTATTGTTAAAAGTTCTTCATTTATGTACATAAAAAAATGCAAATACATTTTCAACGACTTTACATAATCATGATAAAATAACTGGTTTCTAATACAGATTGAAAGGAAAATTATAAAAAATATTGCTTTTTTATAATTAATGACAACAATCGGCACAGCCAAGAAAAAACCTCATTTTGAAACAGAAAATTTGACATATCTGTGGAAACTGTATCCATATTAACTGCACCCTGCTTCTTCTGAATCAAAACATATTAAAGCATAATTGTCCTTAACAACTAATTCCTTAAAAGTATTAGTTCCTTCTAAATACTTTTGATCGTCAATTTCTTTTTAATCTTTCACTGTATCACATTTTACAAGTCTACTTTTTTCCAAATGGATAATTCAAGCAAATTCTTTTTTTCATAATGTTTTCAAAAAACGACTGATAAAATTATTTAAACAAAGCCGTTAGAAATTGGAATTCAAGAAAACATTTTTAATTTTTCAGAAAGGAAAAAAAGTGATCTAAAAGTGATCTAGTGAAAAGTGATCTAGTGATCCAAAATATTTTGTGAAATAATGGTACCTTAACTTACCTTAAACTATATTTGGTTTTAAAAAAAAAAGTCTTTTTTCTTCACCATTAGAAGAACAAATGTAAGTTCAAGATATACAGTAACTGTAATATTAATTTATAAAAGCAGAAAAAAATAACATTTTTACCTTTTTTCATTGCCATATGATTTTTGAGCAACTTTAGCATGCAGTATAACGAGCACCATATCCCCCCTTTCTCTCAGATATTTTTTCATACATTCCCTGGAAACAAAAATAACATTAATTATTTATAATATTAATTACGTATAATATATTATGCATATTTATACATAATTAATATTATAATTAATATAATATTAATTACTTTTAACACATCGGTTGATAAGTTTACGGTCTGACATACAGATGGCGCCCTAAATGCAGAATTAGTATTTTGTTTAGCAAGTCCTAACTTTCAAATAAAAGGTGTCAAAATTTTATAGCGATCTGCCGATTGATTTTAAAGTTACGGTGATTTTAATTGAACACCAAGAATTTCATGTTCTTATTAATCATTGTTATTTAATGGGAAAAAACATGGTAGAAACTAAAGCTTGGCTCGATAAGTGTTATCCGGGTTCTTCACCAGGAAAATCGACCATTATTGACTGGTTTGCTGATTTTAAACGTGGTCGTACAAATGTTGAAGATGCGCCATGATCTGGACGCCCTAAAGATGTGGTTAATCTGGAAAACATAATAAAAGTCCACAAAATTGTTATAGAAAACCACAAAATTGTTATAGAATTATTATAGAAATTGTTATAGAAAATTGTTATAGAAGTGAAGTTGCATGACATACCTGATACTCTAAATATATCAAAAGAGCGTGTAGGCTTTATTTTGCACGAACATTTGTTTATGAGAAAGCTGTTTTCAAAGTGGGTGCCGCGCATGCTAACAGTTGACAAAACAACGAATTGATGACTCCGAGAGCTGTTTGAAGTTGAGCTTGTTTTAGCTGTTCGAAGCCGAGAGCTGTTTCGAAGAAACCGATTGACAAGATTTCGCCTGCGATCTTTTTTTCCCGGTAGTTACTGCTACGGATTTCACGACTTTTTTACTTTTTTTTTTAATGTGATGATGATTTGCAAAATTGCGTAAAAAGAATTTATTAGTGTGTTTTACCTCAACAAAATGCAAGAATATCTGCCATATTAGATATTTAAAAAAATACTTTTGAAAAATAGCCTATAACAGGATCTTAAATTTGAGATTACCTTACCCATGTTATTTGATTTACCGATTTCTCTACATAAAAAAATTTATTTAGGACAGCTTACAAATAATAGCAAAATACTTAAATCAATAGTAAACACAGCCAAAAGGCCATCTAACATTGACTTCGAGTAGGAATATGATAAACTATTTCGTTTTTAATAGTAATAGCAGAACTTGACACTTTAACTTTGTAAAGATCAGAGTTATTTCAATGAATTTGCATTTAAATTTTCAAACTGCATTTATACTTTGAATAACCATATTATCAAAAAGGCTAACTATTATGAATTTTTCCTAAATTTTTTTCTATTTTTCGTTTTGAGTAGAAAAATTCAATTTTTAAAATTTTTTGATAGCCTTTTTCACTTTTAGTCAGCTATTTCACTTTTAGTCAGCTAAGTTCAGCTATGATAGGTTTTCAGTAATTAACGGAAAAAGGTTCAAATAAATCCTTAATATACATTTTATGAATGAAAAATTGATAGTATTAATTTCTTCATAACTTACAACAATGTAAATAAAACTGACGTAAAACAGTGAAAAAACTATTTTTAAAAAAATATTAAATTATTATAACTAAAATTGTATTTACCTAGTGAGCCTTTGGTCTTTTCTTCTGAAACAAATAAAAGAATCATTCATGCACGTAATGCTAAGTATGCATCTTTTAAATACAAGGAGCAACTATCAACCAGGACTGATCTAATAGCTCATGAAAATATTACCTTGAGTTAACACACCTTGTAGATTGTTTTGAAGTTTATTAAAAGGGTATATAACAGACTTAATATTTTTAGGAGTTAAATCAAGTCATTAAAATAAATAGCTGCACCTTGTATTACAATTTTATTAATTAATATATAAAATAAATTTTACTGAATTTCAAATTGAAATTTATTTCAAAAGTAAAAAGAATTCAAATGGAAACAAAATGCTTTTTTTTCTTCCAAAAAAACACTATTTTAAAGCATAAAATTAATTAAATTTGAAAAGTTACAGTGTCCAGCAAATATTATTGCATCATAAAATAGAAGTTAACTGATTTCTTTTTGATTTATGTGCTTTTTTTTTCTACAACTGCAATTATAAAATATTTTACAATATTCCTCTTAGTTAAAGTTATGTTTTTTGGCTTTTTCCCAATATCAAGCAAAAGATCTATTATATTAGAGTTGTCTAAGCATTGAAAACGATTGTGAAATCACTCGTTTAATCCGTACACAATTGTTGTTCACAAAAGTTTGGATTCTCCAAAGCAACTGTTTCAGAGGAAATAGAATAGATTTAAAGTCGAAGATAGCAGCCCATTGCTGAAAATTTCAATAAGCATTTGCACTTCTTCAAAAGACTGCCACTTTGAAAATCAATTATATTTATTTGTTAGTAAAAATCTGCTCTAATTATTATTTGCTATATTTCAATAATTTATTTATTTTTAATTCTTTTCCAAAGAAGTAAATCTATAAAATATCATAAAACAATACCAGTAGGAATTTCTATCATCATATGCTAATCCTAGAGAGTATATAATTTTTTTTTTCTATTTCTGGTTCAGTTGTTGTGGAACTTTTATTTTCTTTTTAAATTGCTTTTTCACATAAAAATATAAAATAATTGCTTCATAAATTTATTTTATTTACTTATCAATATACTTCTTAAAAACTGATCTACCATTTCATCTTTAAAAATTAATATTTTTTTTTTTTGTTCAGATTAACAAATAGTGAATTTATTTTTACCATTTCTGTTTAAATTTATTACAGAACATCTATTGATACATATTATCATTTAAAATTGTTACGATTGTCTTAATAATACGATGAACAGTTGCTGGGTGAACTTAAAACAATAGTGGTGTTTGTCCATTGAAAATGTTAAATGAGAGAAAGAGTTTGTAGGACAACATATGGGTAAAAAGTTGTTGTTGAGAATATTTAATCCTTTGCTCAACCTTCTTGTTATCCAGTTCTAGAATGCTTGTCTGTTTTGAGGACATCAAGATAATATAATTGTACTGATAATATAGTTAATTATTGATAATGTAACTATTTTTCTATAGTCTAACATTCACAACCAAAACAAAAAGTATAGGTTGTTATGCCATGCGATGATAAAATTTTTACGATAAATATTTATTTTCACAACCCATACTTTTAGTTTAAAAAAAATACTTCATGCATGGATTTTTTAAAAAAAAAAGGTAACTTTAAAAAAGAATACAACATAAATTCTTAATAGCAGCAGTTTGTTAAACGTTGAATAAAAATGAAAAGGACATACTTGCTTCTATGGCGGTCATCCACGGGTGGTGAAGGTGTTGGCATTGGACTTGGAGGTGCATGACCTCGACCTTGTGACAACAATGGAAGGCTTAGAGCACCATGAGGCACAAGAGGGTGGTGAGGCTGTTGCTGGTTCTGTTCCCCATTTACTAAAATAATTAAAAACATTAAATGAATAGAAAAATAATACAAATGGTAAAACAAAAATAAGTCTATCAAACAGATTCTGAATAAATATTTACAAGCTCAGTCAGACAATGTAAGGGTAAGAAATGCATGGACAGTCGGAAGTTTTACACACACATTGGGCAATATTATTTTTTGGGTCCAACTGACCTTCCTATTTTATTGATATGCATTGGAAAAAAGTTATGTATATTCAGCAGTAATTCGGCTTACAATAATATGCAGGGGTCGGTCCAGACCGAATTTACTACCCTTTAGCGGTACCTTCACAAATTCAACTTTAGGAAAAATGGTAGTTTCACAAAATACTTTTTCTTAAAATTTTATTTTTGTATTCCTTAAAAAATGATAAATCCATATTCTTGTCATATTTTTGTGTTGGATTTTCAAATATAATTTTTAATTTTTCACAAATTATGTCTAAATTTTCACAAAATAGGTATCTCTCAGAAAAACCTAGACAGACCCCTGATATGTCAAATAAGCAAAAGTCATAGAGGGGGCATAAGAAATAAGATATTATATGCACCAGTGGACAAGTAACTAAATTGCGTGAAAAAAAATAACAAATCCACAAAATTATAAATTAACTTTAAATAAATATTTGGAAAAAAAGTTTTTTTTCTTTATCAGTAGCTAAAGGTGAAAATCAGAATATTTCTTAGCATTGAGTATCATAATACATTGTTACTTTTTTTTTTATTGGTACAGGTGTTAGATCAGTCATAATTAAAAGCATTGATTGTTTCAAATATAACTCTTTTCTAGCTTTGAAACTTTTTTTGTTTTAACTACTTGTAGAAAAAAAAATTTAAAGATGTATTCATATTGATAGATGGATACAGAAGTAAGGAATTCATATTTTAAATAGGGACCCACTATTAGTAAAAAGGGGTTCAGATATCCTGAAGTCAGGTTTCAGTTTTTACGTGTTTTATTTTTTAATGGATATTTACAGGAACACCACATAATTCTGACCTAGATCAGGATATCTAGTAAGTACACAAGATAACCGTACAATACATAAATCAATGATAAAGCATTACAATATCTCACCAGGGTTAACTGAGTACCAGGGCTCGAAAAACCGCATGTCCGCCCGTCCTCAGCGGACAACAAATTTCTCGAATCCGACGTCCGCGCAGACGGCCATTTTCCCGTTAATGTTCGTGATACATTTTCAATTTTTGTTATCTTACAAGAGTCTAGCGCCTCACTTCTAAAATGACCCTCTAATCTAGAAATACAGCAACATACTGCGCATGGTGGAATTGATGTTTTCTCTGTCTGGGAGTACTGCAGCGGTTGAAAGGGGCTTTTCAGCAATGAACTTACAAAAAAACACATTACGTACTGGTCTTAAACAAGAAGCGTTAAACGCAATTATGAACATCTACCTAAATGGAAAACCCCTTTCAGATTTCTGTGCAGAAACCTCTGTAAATCATTGGCTTGATTGTGGAACTGGCAAACGTCATATTTGATTCATTTAAAAAACGCAGTACCCTCGGATAAATTGACATTCCAGATAACTTGATCTTTGTCGTTTTAATTATTTCATAAATGATATAAATTATTTCATAAAAGAAATACTAGGTTACTATTAGTAACCTAGTATTTCTTTTATTACTGTATAATGTAATCCTAGTATTTGTTATCCTAGTAACTAATAATTCATTGTGCAATTTACATAAATGTTTGTAATAAATAAGAGAAAATTATATTTTTATATATTTAGAAGCTACGGGTTAGTTTCAAAGGAGGACGGGTACATTGTTGGACAAGCCGTCCTCGGGGACGGGGGAAATAAACTTCTGAGTTTTTTCGAGCCCTGCTGAGTACTATATAAATTTGTAAATTCCAATCAACAAATCTAAAACAAGCATTTGCTCTCTTAGGGGCAATCAATGCATCAGAAAAACAAAAGCCACTTTTTTTTAAAATTATTTTAATTTTTTGCTCTACCTACATAGTTGAATTTGTACTTTAGTTTTTATTATTAGTTTCATTTTTTTTAGTTTTTAGTTTTATTTGTACTAAGGAAGCTGTTAGAGAGCAACCAGTTTTCTAAGCTGTTGCATAAAATCCTTAGGTTGAGCACATGGAAGTTTTCCCTTCGTCAATTGGGGTTGAGGTTAGTTTCAATTTGTAAGTACAAATCGGTTGTGATTGCCCTCCTTTTACCTGATGGAAGCTAGAGAATAGTGGCTTACATGGTGGAGAAATCGTTTGTAAGGTCAAGACAGGAATTGGCAGACTTATAACGATTACGAATATAGTAAGTCTTAATCTTTCAATTTGTTTTCATAATGATATTAGTTTCCATTGCACGAGACAATGAAATGCAAAAACAATTGAGTGAAAAGTTTGATGATGATAAGCAAATTTTTGTAGATAATAAAAGAGAAAAACTAAGTTAAGAAAGTGATGAAGTCCAGTTTAATAAACATGTGTTGCAAATTAAAATATTTGATTAAGCCACAAGAGAAAAAACTGTTTAATCAAGAGTAAATGCAACTTGATTGATGAAAAGCATAAAAGAAATCTCCAAATGAAAATCAAGTAATTTATTCAAAGAACTCCAACAAAATTTCTCCATCAAATAAAACCATCTCACTAATGCATCGAGGCAAAGAAAATTGAAATCGAGAGAAAAAAGAAAAAGTATGAATACGATCAAAAGAAATCTTATACATAAATTCCTCAACTCATCCAAGAAAAAAAGATGTAAAAACAAAAGGTAATGCGTCTGTTCCAAAAACATAACTCACAACATCATAAGCAGAAAAATAAATAAATACAAGTGTACTTAGCTTTTAAAGACATTAAATGATCAAATTGTAACATCATTAGTTGCAGAGAAAGAGAGAGAACTGAACTTCCAAGGTATTTCAAAAAGTACATCGGCGAGTTTTCCCATTGGCAGAGAAGAGGACAAAGACCGATCAATGCGGCAGAGTGCCTGCCATTAAGGGAGAGAGGCGGCACAGCGCTGGGCCAGCTGTAGCAGCCTTCAATATTCCCACGCTTCAGCAGGGAAGCATCCACTTTCATTCCCTGGTGAGTCTTGGGCTTAATCTGCAGGCTTGGCTCAAAAAGCAAGTGCAGCACTGGGGCGCATTCCTGTGAAAAGTAATTCAACCTGCACCTGCCATTGTCAGTCAGCTGCACGGCGTGCAAAAGCTTTTATTCTTTTTCCGCAGTTACATTAGAGACATCTTGCAGGCAAATGTAGGAAAATGTCTGTACCTTTTTAAGAAAGCAAATTAGGCCAGATAATTTTCTCTTTGGAGTGAGAATGACATAATTTAAGAGTTCATTTCAGGAAAAACTTTGCAACTGTTTTATTTAAAATAAATCTGGATATAAATATGTAGTTTAGGTAAATGACTTTTAACTAACTTTTGAGGAGTTTTGTTAGTTTGTATTTTAATGCATAATTATACACATAGCATATGTGAAATTTCCCAAGGGAATTGAGACTTATTATCCGACTTTAACTTAGATATCTAAAGAAAATATAACACTGGTGGTTCTACTCTCTCTAACTGGTGGTAAATGTTCACTCTCTTTTTGCACAACTGCAGTATCAATTAAATCTATCTGCAATCAGAAAAATATGATATGAAAGATCATTGTTTTTCCTACTCCTTGATAAAAAGGTATTTCAGCACATAAAAATAAGAGGCTTTTCTATTGCGAGACTTCTCGTAGATAGAAAATGGAGTGAAGTTGTACACAACCATTTGAAATGATAATTTTAACTTTCAAAGCGTAAAACGGACAGTGGGTTAAATAGCGGTTCCAATTTTTTTGGGTGCAGAACCCTAAGCGTAGAACTTTCTTTAGAACTTTCTTTTCTTCTCTTAAAAACTCAGTAGAGGTGGTGAATGTGTTAGAAAGAAAAGAAAAAATTATATTATGGAGTATATAATTTATTAGTATGTAGTGAAGTTTAAAATTTATTGTTTCATCAACAAAAGTCTTAAAATTAGGTTTCATATTAGACGGTTGAATTCGCAGGTTTGAAACGGCTTCTTGTCTAACGGTTTTTAGCATATACATAAATCAAATTTCCTAAAATAATGCGCTGTCAAAACAAAATTCTCCATTGACAAAATCTTTCAAGAATTTCATTAAATCATTATTTCTTTTGGTGTTAAATGCTTATTAAGTGTGAAACACCTTGATTTACCTTTTAACGAAGAGTGACATTGCATTAAGTCTGATCTCCAGTCAAAATCAAATTCACTGAGATTTCAAAGAATAAAAGCACTTTAAATAAAAGCACTTTACAGAGTTTTATCTTATAAATATATATTCATTAAGAACATACAATATATGCAGAATATTATTCATTTCTTTAAACTAAATTTATTCATCGTTTTGTTCATGAAAAACTCTAGATAGATATAGAAAAGTTTTATATAATAGATAAAGAAAGTTCTATACAGATAAGAGTTGATTTTTTTTAAAAAATGCTCGCCTAACATAGACAAAAAAAAATAATAAATTATATAAATTCCTGAAATTTTTATTAGCTGATAATTAGTGGGAAAAAAATTTTATACCTAATAAATAGATAAAAACAGAAATTGTCATAATATTTATTGCTAATACTCCAAGAATTCTAGAGTAGACTCTAAGAAGTTCCCAAAGAATTCTTGGTTTTTCAGTGGTATTTTGATATTTCATGAGAATTTCAAGTTTTCAGTTTCCATGGAAGAATCACCTTGATACCCTAGATTTTTATACAAAGTAGTTCTGATCCTAAGGTCAAAAAGTTGAACATCTTGAATTATCTTTAAATTAAGAAAGAGTGACATGACACCCTAGATAGATGTTAAAGTCAAAAAGTTGGTGAACATCTTCAATCCCCTTTAAATTAAGAAATAGTGAGATAACACTCTAGATTCTTATCCTCTACTCTACACTCTAGATTCTTATTATGGATTACTTTATA